TCTGCGTTGTTGCTCTCAAGAAAGTGAAAGAAATATTTAATACTACGAGACGAATGTAAAGGATAGAAAGTTAAGGGGGAAAGCTGTTTATATCTTGACGATATGAGATACGGATTGAGGTTGATCTAGTCGGATTTTATTAATAGATGGTTGAAAACAGTTTCTGTTTAAGCTGTGACAAGAAAGAGGTTCCGGATCAATGCATCACTGGTAGCCGAGGTGGGTAGGAATTGACATTGACGGATGTCATGATGCACTATGTATTTTTGTGCTGATAACTCCGGGCAGGAAGGGGAATTGTTTAGAAATATGGAAGGCGGTTCGTTCATAAATAAATAAATAACCGTTACGATGGTCGCAGACTAGAAATACTCGTTAAACTTTGTTAGCTATATCCATATGTTTTGTTTTCCATGGCCCAGTGTGATACTTTCCCGTATTGTCATGCCGCTAGCCGGAATGGTTTTTTGAGGCCAGTAGTTACGGGGTGTCGAAATCTCGAATACGGGAGGGTAGAATGGTGACGATTGACGACTTGTCTAAGCTATCTGCTAGACCGTTTTCGGACGCCACCTCCTCCGTGACATTTTGTCTCAACAGCTCGGTGGCCTTTTCAAAAGTGAACAAGGTGCGGATCTCTTTGTGAAAGATTTCAGATGATTTCAATTCTCGCAGCTTAGATGGCAGCCTGTTCCATATTTTTGCGTAAACCTTTACATAATAGTCCGTACATGCCTGAGTTCTAGTCCTATTTTTAGCAAGTTGTGGCTGTCTCGAATACTACAGTTTGACCCATCTTTGAATTTCATGTCCAGGCTTGTGGCACGAACTCGCTTATGTATGATATCGAATAAGAAACATATAGTAACTCATCCGTCTGAATCATACAGGGTCTAGTTTTAAGAGCTTGCAGCGCTGTACCTATGAGATTCGAGAGGACCTCCCCAGCAGCCGTTTAGTGAATGATTTCTGCAACTTCTCCACTTTCTGGGGATCACCTTTTCGTCTGTTACTGTAGATCGGTGCACAATAGTCTAAAAGAGGTCGGGTTTTTATCGTGTACAGGATGGCTATAGAATCGTGCATTTTGAATTTTTGTATAGTACTCCAATGCCTCGACGAGCTCTAGCGACTACATTCGCGATGTGCTCCATAAACTTAAGTGAGCCGGAATAGTGAAGACCTAAGTCCGTTATTGCACGATTGCACGTTATTGGTTTTCCGCACAAAACGAGCGTGCCAGATGCGATTGTACAACGTAACAGTAGGACACTGCGCTGCTCGGTTGCGAATGACATATCCCATTTGGCGCACCAGAACTCAAGGACTTTTAAATCAGATATAATGGCGTTTGTGGTGTGGTTCGTGACAGGAACATCAAAGGTGTAAGTCATTTTCATGTCATCAGCAAATACGTATGTGACACCGTAGTTTATTGCGTTGAATATTTCGTTAATATACAATAAAAAGATTAGTGGGCCGATAATGCTGCCCTGAACTACGACAATCAGCACTGGGCTAGGTTGTGAATTTTGTTCATATATTCTAACCTGAGTTCGGTTTGAAAGGTGTGACTTGGATCACGATAACAATGGGTCACTGGTTCCAACAGATGCGACTTTGTCTATAAGCTTATCGTGAGGTACACGATCAAATACTTCTGTATGCCTAGGAAGATCACTATTGATAATTTCCCGCTGTCTAAGGAGAGAGCATGATTGTTGAGAAAGGCAAGATGACATGTTACACATGAGCGTTTCTTCAGAAACCAATGTTGTACACTTTTAAGCAGACCACTTGTTTGCCGGAAATCTACTACTGTTGGGACAACTAATGGAAGTGTGGCTGATTAACCGATCGTTTCTGACGTCCTGTCTGGGTCCGGCTTTGTGACCTGCTACAACAGTGGCTGTCTGGCAATTTGTGGGTACTTTGCTGTCCTGCATTGAAAGAGAGAATAGATTGAGCAGAAGGAGGGTGATATCTGGCCCTCCTAGTTTTAGTGCTCTTGAAGAAAGAGCATCATGGCCTTCATAGTTAGATTGTTTCACAGCTCCCAGTTGTTTTTCTACGTCTCGGAGTGAAAATTCTACTTTAGGAAGACAGTTAGAGGTTACGGTGGATAAGCCAAGCAAAGGGGAATAAGTGGTTTTGTTGAAACATGAACAAAATTACCAGTTCAGAGTCCCGGTAATGGAGATAGGGTCATGTACGACAGAGCCATCGAGAAGTATGATAAAAGTGATTTCATTTGCCTTAGGGTTTCGAAGTTTTCATAGATCAGTCCACATTTGCTCTTTGTTGTTAGCCGAAAGTGTACGCGTTTCCTCCGTCACTTGCCTTGAGTGGCGAAGGGCATAGTATTTGGCTAAGAGTTGTTGCTGTTGTAGAACCGGTGAAATCTTGCTCGTCCGTCTGTACCTTTTGCGAAGGATTTCTATCTTTTTGGTGATTTTAGGTGGTAAGCTCTCCGCATATTTTCGATTAATAAGGCATTTACGCTTAAGCGGAGAGACCACATCAAGACGTTTTGATGTTGCTATAGAACTTATTTGCAGCGATTCGAGGGTCAGCAGTTAAGAAGAAAATGTCCCACAGGGACGATCTAATGAAATATGTAGATAAATCCCAGTCAGTGAAGGCATACTCACGGTACCATGTTACGGGTTTGTAAATGTTAACAAGGTTTGGCGGCGGTCAGCTAAACGAAAGCACGATCAGCTTATGGTCACTGCCGGGCAACCTGCTTAGTACATTTGCGGCCTTTTTCGGTACACCTTACGTGAAGAGGAGATCACGAATGTGGTCTTCTCGAGTTGGCGACCGTACGTGCTGAATCCAGCCATGGGAATGGACGGAGGCAGCAAACCTACCGTACTTTGTAGATGAGGTAGGTGTGCCCCAAAGAATGTGTGGCATGTTGAAATCGCCATTTATGAGTTTTAGTCCTCAGGATGCTCGGAAGCGCAGTGAAATACATTTAGTAAATTGTTTGCAGGGGTTGTTTCAGAGTTTGGTGGGTTGTAGACGCAGTCGATAAAAAATTCGAGTTGCTTTATACAAACAGAGACGAAGACCGATTCTTTCTGGCTGCTCAGATAGGGGTCTGTACGTGGGCAAGCATAGATGTCATTTCTGGTGTATATAAAACATCCGCCACCACGATTAGCGGCTCGAAAGCTGCCGTAGCTGTTGTACTCTGCGATCTGGTAGGCAGCGGACGACGTATTTTCAGTTAACCATGTTTCAGAGACCAAGATAATGTGCGAATGGAAAAGTGAGCTGATCGTTCGAAGGATTTTAATTTTAGTCAGGAGTGAGCGGGCATTTGGAGGTATAACGTCGATGTTGTGTTTACTACGTGTTATATTTACAACTACCCTAAGTATGGAGGACAGCGAGTAGAGTGGGCTGACCACAGGGTCAATGCAAGATGTAGAGCAGCCTGGAAGCTTAGGGCCAAACATAGTAACTGATAGGATATACTCAGCTGGTTTCGTGGAAGCGGACATGGTGGCACCTGAGGGACCACTGTTGACAGGAAAAGATGGGTGTTAAGGGTGGTGAATAGGGTGTTGTTTAGGGTGAACCTAACTTCCGCTGGGATGGACTACTTCGTGTAACAAGCGGTAGTACACTTCTCTGAGGGTTGGATATTGTACTAGTCCATGGTGCTTCTGCTGCATTTGTAGGTCTACACGACGCACCCAAGAGGGAAGTTGTAGGTACCTATGTACGATCAAAGTATAAGCACGAGACACTACCCTACTAAAAAACACATTGGATAAGTTAGGTATTTTTCGAATAGTATTAAGCTCACCGACCAGTGCTTCTAAGGAGAGTTGGTCTGTAGAACTCAGTTTAACTAATGCGGAAAATGTATGGATCATTTTCGGCAATTTTACGACTCTGATCATATGACGCTTTATACTACTCGCTTCACAGTAGTTTTTATGGTATCTTGGTCTGAGGAAACAAGAACATTGGGTGCAGGGATACTGTGAACGTCTAATGTTCTGTTAGACCATGTGGGGTATATAGAGATATTATTAGATGATCTTATTTGAGTTAGCCATGGAGAGATGGCTTTGGGCAATATGAAAGTAGTTGTGGGTTTCTCAGTAATACGAGGTTCTTGGGCATCTAGTAAAATTTGCTTTTGGGTGTCTAGGTTTGTAGAACCATCATTTATATAGATTGGATTATGGGGTATCGCATAGCCGCCCCTAAGTAATGACCTGGCTGTTAGCCACGCATTAATTTGTCAAGATTCTGCACCGTTGTGAAAATTCATCTGGGTGAAGGGTAAACAGGTCTAGATCGACCTCATGAATGTTGGTGCTCAGCGACTGTGTTACATATTCTACTTCAGATTGGCATTGCTCTTGTTTATGAGGACTGTTGCACTTTATTTTAGTAATCAGAAGCTGTACGCCAGTTGCTGTATCTCCTATCATTACTGCAGAATTATTGGATACTGCTGTCTAGTGGATGGGGTATCATTTATTTTTGTATTTAGACATTTAGCTCGGTTACTAGTACAAGCTTTCTTGTGCGTTGAAAGATTTACTGGTATCCTTGTACTGTACTTCCGTATTACAGCGCAGAGTGTAGCGGTTTTAATTAATGCTTCAGTCGTACTAGTTTCTGAGCTATTGCAGAGAGGAGCCACTTCATTTTTGTTGACTTCGCTATGCTGACTATGTTTTATTAAGAGGCTGATTGCATTACTATAGTTATGGTATAAAACTCAGGCAGACTGTCAGTAGTCGTGCTATTGGCTATGCCGCAACCAGTTCCGAAGGCCATCTGTAGGTGGAAAAAGCTGATTTCACCAAACTTCTTTTCTCAGAGGCCTTTTGTCGGTCGTTATCCGTGGTGTTTTGAAGGTGCTGTTTTCTGCTGTCTACACACTTTTCTTATAAACTTGTTCGCTACCAGTGCACCACCGAACTGAAAAAGCAACGGGCAGTTCTTTTTCGTTGATCTTTCTTCCGCAGCCTTATACAGTTGCACCAGCTGCTTTCCGTATTACCTGCTCTAAGCAGGATTTTTTGTAGGATTTCAAAGTCAGTTTATGGGGTAAGTTGAATACTATTGCATTTTTTGGACCGCTCTCTTTTAGACACGTTTGTTGCAATAGTTTCAATGAAGACGCTGGCAGCTTAAATGTGATCCCTGTTTGGGTTTAACTTCGCTTGCAGCAGGACAGTCAGTGGTTCAAGTGTTTGGAGGGTTGTGTGCAAACAGTGAAAAGAAGCTAGTTTTATTTTGAGCCCATCCAGCTCATCTTGGATAGACTTAAGTTTGGCAAGTGTGTCGGTCAACAGGTAAGTCTGTTTATCTAGATGATTTTTCAGCCAAGGTGGCTTAGTGGATTTTAGCAAAATTGGGGCCTTAGCAGTTGCTGAAATTTTCTGAAAAATCGTGGTAGAGCGTGTACGTCTGCCTGACATTATAAGCGCTTGTTATAGACGTTTGACAATTAGGGGGTGCTCCTAGCTAAGGAAGAATGTTATAGGATTTCTCTATGAAACATAACCTGAACTACAGCTAAAACTTCAAATACAGAGTACTGGGGTAAAAAAAAACGACCGTTCTCGAAATTTTATTGTCTGGAGCGTTCAGATTCCGCGGCGTTATTCGCTTGGGATATCTTCACTGATCACGTGCGACTTCTCGCAGTTGGAAGTTGCTAGATGGGTTAGATCTCACGGCTACGTTTATCGATAATAGCCACAAACACCAATTAAACGAACGTATCCAGGCGTGCAGCTATGGTCAGGTGGAGATGTTGAATCTTGCAGAGTGGGGCCTGGAGATTGAGTAGGGCATTTGTACACACACACACACACACACGTACAAGTGAACCTACGCGCGCACGGGCATCATCATCATCATCATACACGTTAGCTAGAGGTGGGGAACACCTCAGCTACTGTGCCGTGCGCACGGGTCAAGCAACTGATCCCATGACATCAGACGTCATGCGCCATATCTACACTAGGGGGTCCATCTGTTTCCCGTAAATTTGGCAAGCGTTACCCGTCACACAAGCACACAGAACTACGATGAACCAAGACTTCTCCGAGTTGTGTTGCCTTCCGTCAATAAAACCAAATCTGTTCTGTTATCGACAGTTCGCCTCCGGAATGGGTCACATTCCATCCTCATATTCCCAGATATTCCGTGGAGCGAGCGCAGATAGGCGAAGCACTATTTGGCCGAACACCGGAAGGAATTTGTAGCCAGGATCATCCTTATACACAATGTGGCACAGGAAAAGGAAATGAACCGCTCAGCACCGTCATTTCACGCACCAGGCTCCGATGGCTCGGCCACGTGTTACGCATGCCAGCCCACCGACTCCCGCGCCGTGCGTGGTTTGCGCGCCGGGGGTGTGGATGGAAGAAGAGGAGGGGTGGCCAAGCGATGACTTGGTCGAGAGGAATGTAGGCCCTCACTTCTGAGCTGGCCTCTGTTGGAGCGTCACTGCTCCCTGGTTGGGGTCTGAAAGACGATGAACACGTTTGGTTGGACACACTTGCTGATATGGCTAGGAGCCGACCTCAGTGGCGTTCGTGTTGTGAGTTTCTTTGTCCCACCCCATCCCTCTTAGCCTCCCCTCCAACCACCATCTCATTATTTAGCCTTATATAATTTTGCATAGTAGTTTTTTTGATGCACAGTAGCTGGCTGGTAGCTTACCGGAACAATGCCCATCCGTTACCGGTAGCTCAGCCGGCTTGCACCAGTTGCTTTTTCTCCTTTTTTCTGTGTATTTCGACACAGTAGCTGAGGTGTTCCCTACCTCTAGCTAACGTGTATGATGATGATGATTATACACGCCGTCCCCGAGGCTGGAGGTCATGCTGCGCGCGAAGCGTCCACTCACGACCAGGAGCAATGGTGGTATATTCGCGAGACCCTCTTTCCGGAAAACATCATTACGCATTCAATTTCGAGGCTGCGCCAATCACCAAACTATAAGGGCTGTGGCCCGAAAATTGTGAAAGTGGTCCTTCAATCTAGATAAATGTCAGCAATAGTAGTGGAGGGATGGTATGCGGGCCGCAGCAGCCTTCCTTCGGAGCTCCGGATCAAAGCAACATCTGCTAGGCAACCACACGAGAGCAGCTGCTTAGTCCGACCACTTACCGACAAGAGTTCGGATAACTTTCATCAACTAGCCAACGAAACTGGCAAACACGCATACAAATAGAGAAACAAAGAGGTAATGATAGGATCCATGAATCGGACAGAGATGAATTCGTCATCCCCCCACCCAAAAAACGATTAGTTGACGACATTTTACCGGTCAGCACAATATTTTATCCAAAACACCCATCCCACAATTTATTGCTAAAAACAGCGAAACTTTCCTGCATGTACACTAATGCACAAGATCTCCTAAACAAGCTTGCCGTACTGCGGCTACGTCAAGCGTCACATGCCTGGGACCTCATACTCGTTACGGAAACCTGGATGCACTCAGAAATTACCGAGGTCGACATCGAGATGAACGATATGTCCCTTCTTCGAAACGATTGGCCTAGCAAAGGCGGGGGGTAATGTTATACTACCGCAACGACTTGCAGTGCGAACCGGTGGCCGATCCGGAAACACTTACCATAGACTCACTCTGGTGCAGTCTGTGACTGAGACGCAACGACACTTGCCTTTTGGCCCTTTGTTTATCGTCCCCAAATGTCCAACGCAGAGATGGACTCCCGTCTGACATTATCCTTGGGAAGCGTCCTACGAGGATGATACAGTGATTTTCTCATCTCAGAGGACTTCAATCTTCATGATTTGGATGTTCCACTATCCCTCAACGAGCAGTTTAAGACTGACCTGCAAGAGTATATTGCAAACATTCCGCTCTTCAGCCATGTCAGTTCACCAACTCAATTCGGAGCCGGAAACAAATCATCTGTGCTTGACTTCATGCACACGAACGAAGAGCTCATGGTTGAGAAACCAAGGCTGGAGGCCCTCTGGAGCGGAGAGACCACATAACCATAATTTACGACTTCGTGTGTTATGCGGAGTATCCACAAAAACATACCACCTTGTTTCGAACAATCACCCACCACAACATACTATCAGAACTTGTGGGCGATGCCAGCTGGGAGTTTCCGGACGACCGTTCCACTACCAGCGTTTCGTTGGATTTTACTGGCAAGTACAGTGATCTGATTAAATCTGCATCGGCCAACAAGCCTCTTCGTTCTGTAAGGGCACATTCATTCGGAGTAGAACCCGAAAACACATGGCAGTAAGAGACGCTGCGTGGCATGTATATATAGCGAACCTTAGCCCTGACAACTGGAGTAACTATATTGTGCATTGTAATCACTGTACCATACTTGTGCGCGAGGACAAATGAGTACATCAGCAGTCTAGCGGAAAAGTTTTGTGTTAACAGAAAGCCTCTGTACTGACATGTGAACAGCGTCCGGAATGTGAAACGTGGTGTTCCCCCACTAATATCAGCGGATGGATGTACTCAAACCGCCGAGAATGCAGCCAACGTTCTACGGCTACAATATGCCCCAATTTTCCGACGTGCTCCCAGCATTTGTAACCTACGTGTCTCATTCTCCCAGATGCCACTATTTACACACATCACGTATAGCTCAGCGGCAATTTTAAGGAAGCTGCCATGGTTGCGTACCCATAGTTCCCACGTAGTTGACAACATTCTCCCGAAAGCACTGCACGTGGCAGCTACGAAGATAGCTGAACCGCTAACTAGATTTTTCCAAAGACGTCTGGACGAACAGCAGGTTCCTAACATGTGGTAGCAAGACATCACTACCTCGGTTTTCAAAAGTGGCAGCCGTTCAGAGCCAGCCAACTATTGTCCAGTGACTCTCCTCGCGGTGCTCTCTAAGGTGATGGAATCGATCATAGCTGAGGGTGTAATGGGCTACTTTGAAAGGTCTAACATCATAGCACCGGAGCAACACGGATTCTTTCAGCATCGGTCATGTACTACCAACCTACTGCTTTTTGTCTTGGCAGTTGGACCGAGATAGTCGACAGTGAGACGGGCATTGATGTCATTTACCTAAACTTTTCCAATGCATTTGACCGCATAGCTCACCGTCTCCTTCTCCGAAAGCTGCAAGAATACGGAGATGGAAACCCCGTACTTGGATAAATCGGAAACTTCCACTTTCAGCGGCGCCTTCAAGTTCGAGTTCGAGGTTCATTTTCTGATCCAATTGGTCTGGACCGCGGTGTTCCACAAGGGTCGATGTTGGGGCCGTGGTTATTCTTGTTTTTCATTAACGACCTTGCGATTGTCATCAAGTATACTTTCCTGCTTTTTGCCGATGACATCAAGCTATAGCGAGCAGTCGACTGTCAGCAACATCACGATATGTTGTAACGTGACATAGACTGCGCTTTTGAATGGTCAAAGGTAAATCTAGTTCCGTGTAACACGGACAAGTGTGTTGGGGGGTATGTGAGTATGTAATTGTGTGTGTGTGTGTGTGTGTGTGTGTATGTAGCTGTGTAGTTTGTGCCTGTAATTGTGCTGCTCCAATCTTCAGTGTTTGATATCGTCAAAAATGTGCGAGTAGAAGATTGCTGTCCCTGAGTTTGAAAGGATTATCCGAATATTCAGTGGGCAGTGACTTCATTTTGTGGCGAATCACGACCGCCACATCATAGTTAAGCAGACATTTGTGGCTTTTTATAGGGATAACACTTGCCAGCCGAAAACCCACCACGTTCTGGAACACTGCCACCGAACTATTTGCTGGAACAGATTAAACCCGAACCACCCAGCTGGCACCACGAGGAGTTTGTTCGGCTAGCCAATTATCTCAGTAGTATGAACAAGTATGAAACCGAGTGTAAAAGCAGGTGTAGCGAATAAGCTTAATTTAACATTTGTCCTTTCGACTGTGGTTCTATGAACCGAAGTACACAAGATTCCCTTCAAACTGTTCGTGGTAAGACTTAAGTTTTGTGTGTCGAATTTAGTCCACACACAACTGGAGCTTAAGCTAAATCCACCCAAATGTGTGATTTCGAAACCTTCCATTTATTTTATAGATACGTGTATTATTTTCTTTCACATGCCATAATTACTGTGGCATACGTTTCTACATACGCCATTCCTCTGTTTTTACTCGTAAGCACGTGACTGTACTTATAAGATGCTATTACAAAACGTGGCCTACACTAGTCTGCTTTTTCTATGTATATGTACCTTGAAGCGAACATTGAATTTGTCGCCAGAGCCAGTTGGGATAAATCTTCGGATTCTTTGGGTTATGTGTGAACTTTCTGGTTTTCCTTGTTTGGTATACGCGTCATGAAAATGGCTTTCATTTTTAAAAATACCATAGTTAATTGCTGGATCTTCACTGAGCGCCCATTGTAATTCAGAAAGATTGGGAAAGCTGTGAAAATTAGTCTCTGTTCTACGGTACTTAAATCTTATCATTTCCATAATTTGGCTTTATATTAATAAAGGTATCTACTTTAAGATATTTGCTTGCACTTACGCCAATAATTTTGTGTTAAAACACTTAACTAAGCGTGTCTTATTTCGTGGAAACTTTTCATATTGTCTCAATGTGTAAGAAATAGGTTTCCGAAAGCGAACAAGCGTCGCTGCGCTTACGTATTTAGTATCGCGATACTACATGTATTGGATTCGAAAATATACTGGTGCGCCATGCATAAGGTGGGAGGACAGAAAAACAACTCATAAAAACAAGTAGTGTAATGAGTGTACCATCATTGGGTTACCGAGTGATTAAACAAGCGAGGAAGCATGTGTTGAATAATAGGCGCTCAGTTGCTGCTCTGGAAGTCCACGACGGCTATAAATGAATGGGTTATTTTTCCGAAGGGCGCGACAAATTCCTTTGGGGGAACGATCATTTGAACAACGAGATAAACCAGCGCTTCATTTGTTAACTATGGGCCAATAATGCATTGATTTGTGGAATATTTACTAAGTTGCTTTATTTGAAGTTAATTTCGTCGTGTGTATTTGGTCCGCATTCCATGAGTGCTGAAGGCCCTAGGCAATTGACCACACTTGGCATACAAACAAAATTTTTGGCTGTTTTTTAAATGTAAGGGAGCTCTCCCTGTTCCTTAATTTCAACGGTAGTGTATTTCATGAATGAACGCACTTCGCCAAGAAGAAATTTAAGCGATTATTTTTCTAAATCTGTAAGTATAGTATACATTTCCAATTACGAGCGGGACAGGTTGAGGCATTTTGTAAAGCGACAGCCGTACTGGTTAAAAAGATCCGGGAATGTGTTATAGTGTAGAGAAGGATGAGGTTGCTGAGCAGTCCTCGAAGCCAGATTGTGCCAAGCTGGAGATAAGATCCTCGCTGCTCAAGCGTAAGTGTTGAACGCAGTACGTTTTCCAAAAAAATGTCTTGCTTAGGTGACTATGTGTGATGATGAAAAACTTTAGCGTGGAGCACACTATACGTGAATGATCCAAGCCCTGTTTGGGATAGTGAACATTAGCTAGTAGTGTAGCTTGTTAGTCGTTTCGCTTTCGTCACTTGATTAAGGGTATTTACGAAAAAGTTGAAGCTGCTAGAATTTTGAATTTTATGTCTCAAGCGGAATACGCAGTTGGAATGGGGATAGTTGTACGAATTAGGGATCTTTCTGGTATAGAGCAGCTGTGGCAGAGTAGTTGAGATTCATCTGCAGAAAGCCTTACAGACCTGCTTTCACTCGATTTGTTTAAGCATATAACTTAGCGTATATATTTGGTGCGTAACTTCAGAGTCAGTTGGAATTGATTAAACTAGGTTGATGTCGTCCGCAAATAAAAATGAGCCTTTGTGTCAGATGTGATCACATATTGTTTGTGTAAGTGAGAGACAGCAATAGACCTATTGCACTCCCCTGAACGACATAACTGATGACGTTTCTGAACACAAAACAGTGTTGACCTATCTGTGTTCCATCGTTCAGATTTGATTCGAACCAACTCAGTAGCGAATTGCTGATCCCATGAGACTTAATCACGGCCAAAATAGGCTTGTGCGGTACGCGCTCAATTACTTTTTGCATATCCAGCAAGACGATGATGATGATGACCATGCCTCCATCATTTGTTGCTGTAGCATGATCAGGGGAGTGTAACTGGCATGGGATATAGGAATATTTTATAGTGAGCTCGAGCTGTGAGCTACTGTCTAAGCTTTGTCTGGTCAGAAGCTTAGTTACCCGATTCCTGATGACTCTTTTTATAACCTTCGCAACTGCAGAAGTATGATGTTTGGGCCGGTAGTTTGACATCCGATCTCGTGGACAGCTTCTTTGGTTAGACTTAATTATAGAATTTTTTCAGCGAGACGGGAGGCACCTAGTGTTTATTGATAGTGAAAAATGCTCAGCATGAGGAGGGGTAGGTTTTTTACCGCCTAACCTTTGGGTGCAGGGGAATACAATCAGGTTCCAGTTGACATGTCGTTTTGATGGATGTGATAGTCATCAGACGCAAAGTGATGTTACAAAGTACCTTTCGTTTTACTTTGGATTATGGGAGGAAATGCAGGTGGTGCAATGTTGAGGGAGGCGGTGCCGTAGAAATTCAATGATTCACATATTTGAACTTCATTATCCCTTGCCGTACCGACGTTCGAAATTAAGTTTGGAATTTCCTGGTGTTGTTTTGGACTTCCTTTCCTGAATACCTGCATCAAAGCATGAGCTTACTCTGAATTGTTGATCGCTCGGTTTTCTTCGGTAATTCTAGACTTGAGTTTAGTGTTCACGTTTCTGTAAAGTTTCACCTTTTCGAATTAATGTGGTGATGTTGTTATAGGAACTAGGGTATAGTAATGTTAAGGATCATTGGTATCTCAAGACACACTTTCGGTCTTGAGCAACCTGGTGTGTTATATGAAGGCAACACATGCATTCATTTTATAAAAGGAACCTTTTCTTCTAGCGGGACCATGTTAATGCATGCGACAAGAATTTATGCATATCCCAGTAATAGAACTTAAAAATTGTTCCCCATTATGTGTTCTGTCTGTCAACTTTAATATATTGTTTGTAAAACCTAGCTTATCAACTGCTAAGTAAAACAGATGAAGGAAATTGGCTTTTATCTACGAAGGTTGGGATGTTTTGTATTACTACGGATCTAATTATCACGGACACTTTTGCATTATGGCCACATTAGATCATATGTATTTCGTTCAGACATGATTACGTCTACAAAAAGCACGGAGTATAACAGTGGACAATTAAACCGAAATTTTTACAACGCTTAGTCAGCTTAACAGACTCACGGTGCACACATGAATGCCAACTGCAAATTGAATGTGTAGCAGGCTTATCGGTAAAAACAGGTCTACGAACAAGCTTCAGATAGGTAAAGAGGATTAATCAACCTGGAAACTACCGTTTAAGCGGATGTGTTTTGTTATACAAACATACTTGGATGGTCCTTGAATACCTGGATGTAACCCAATAACGCTGAGTTGACTGAGTGGGTTATCTGAACCACCACTAAATGCGCTGTAAAATTCGGCAGTGCATCTCTAAGGCACAAATGCTTTTAACAAAAGTCCGTATCCTCCACCACTAATATTCTGGAGATTATTCAACACCGGGACATGTAAGGCATGTACGGAATAAATTGGCCATGGTGCGAAACATTGATTTCATCTTAAAGGTGTCATCATGTACGTACGAATGGAGATTGGAACAGTTGACCCTAGACGCTCCCCTGGTTAGATCACGTGGGTTATTTAATTGACAGAGTACCAGAAGTTAGCTGAGATGTTTTGCGTTGCTTCCAGCGGGAAAGTAGATCCTTGTTGGAAATTTGTGTATCGATATCCTAACCATACTGCATGCCTACTTTGCTTGTAATGCATCTTTATCTTGAGTCAAAAAGATGAACGCTGTCAAAGAATCGCAATATTTTATGTGTTATGAAGGGCTAAAGCAAAACTAAATCATTCACCCGCCTCTACTACATCCAAAGATAATTCCATGCCTGTCATTTTTAAACAGCACGTAAACTATTACACCTATAGCCCATTTGATACTACGTATGGTTTTATGTTTTGTGATAGCATCAGTAAACCATTTTTCGCACTTTTGTAGGTGATTAACCAAGAAAACATGTCTAGTCATCGAGGCAGTTTGGCGCCAAAAGTTAGTGATGAAGGTCCTGACAGGAGGCATAAATCATTAATAAACGTCCTACTGAATTCCCACAATTTAAATTTGTTCAACAACAATGAAACGCTTCCTACATTTCGACGGGACGTTCACATGCTGGATGATCACTACGTTACGATCGAATTTAACGTAAGTTGATTTTCGTTTTGCATGAAACCCGATAGTTTATCGCACACATCGCAATCCTTCACGATTTCTAACTGCAAGCACTGAACGTAAGAATGTGAAACATTAAGATGTTTGCTTACAAGGGGACAGAATATTTGAAGGGGGACTGGCTTCAAACGTAAGCTTTGTGCCGAGAGTCTCCTGTTCAGGGAAAATTGTGGTAACTGGTAGGGTGCTGGCTTGGCTACTGGAATTTCATATGACCATCAGGCTGGGAAAGAGGAATGTGAACCGGGACAGGGACTCTATAGTTGGATGACGGCGGTGGCTTAGTTGTGTATCTAAAGGTGAACACTTCTCTAATTGGTAAGTAATACTGGGATTTGTTGGGGTTTTGTGAAGATTCGTCGCAGCTAGACTCAGACAGACAGCCACCACACATCTAGCAAAATGCTAGACGGCCGGTTCGACCTTTTTGGACTCGTCAGTAGCGCGCACCTGCCGAATCCTGCCAGATTCGAACACTTGACCTTACTCATGCGAGTCAGCGACTTATGCCACTTTTGAGACTTACGCCCATGGCCCATTGGCATAAATCGCAGACTCGCATGAGTAAGGTCCTAGGTTCGAATCCTGCCGGATTCGGCGGGTGCGCACTACTGAGGAGTCCAAATAGGACGAAACAGCCACCTAGCGCTCTCATGGATGTGTGGTGGCTGTCTGCTTGAGTCTAACCGCAACGAATCCTCACACTCCACTAATTTGCCGCCCATGTGTAGTTTGATACTTTCCTTGGATCAGTAGTTGTTTTTTGTGTTTGGCAGAATCAAGGAATGCAATATTTTTCAGCACGACAGGTCATTTTTCAAATGAGTGCTCACGAGGAGTATACAATTGTTGAATCAAGACTAATGTTTGGCAATTAATAAGTGAAAATCGATAATATGTTCCCGCCCAAACCGACTAAGCATATGCATTATACAGCTCCTCTGCTATGGCAATCTATACAAACAATGTAGGATTTTAAGCATAAGCAGTGGTAAATCGCTATGAAACTTACTTCCAAGCAAACTCTCACAACAGAAGATGAATCAGTACGAAGAATTGCGAAAATAATCAAGCCACACATTTGTGATGAACTGAGATCTTAGGTTGTCTGTTCTCAATTCCTTTCTGCAGGTGAATACTGCAAGAATAAGGAAATTTGTTCGATTGTCAGTGGTTATTAGCTTTTCAGCGCTTGAATGCTCACAAGTGAACCCGTGTTAATGGAATCTGTTCCTTGAAGTTGGCTCGCACTTTTAGACTATAATAGTGACCTCTAAACGAGTAACGACAGGGGGACAGGTGAAAAATCCTATTGTCTGTCCAAATAGCTGTATTCAAAGGGATATACTTTTTTTTACCATATCGATAGCATGCGCGTCAGTGCTGAAAATTCACCCGTCACGGGTGCCTAAAAGCGCATTTTTGAATTCATTTGTAATCCTGTCTTAGGAAGCTGCGGTTTGTTAGGTTTAAAATTTAGCTGTGCAATAGTGCCACTTTTCCACCTACGGACTGCAATCAGCTTCGGACAGGACATAATGCCTCAGTTGGTTACGCAAGGCGTGCTCCCCCTAACGTAAGTGTCACCGACAAACTTATGTTAGCGTCTTGTACCCCATGGGTTGAAAGTCGAACTGGACATGGTTAAACTGGTCCTGTGTATCTTGCCATATGTAAGGAGAATAATTTAGATGTTTGATCCAAGGAACCACAAAAAGTTTTTCTCAATTTCTTGAGTAAGGCAATTGCAGTTCACATAGAGTTATCGAACGGGAAGAAATCATAAAACCGCGAGTAATTTGCGCCAAAAACGAGACTGCAACTGTTATGCATCAGCCTCCAGTGTTCTGAAATCGGTTCTTCATAGGATCGACCATTTGGAGAAACTGCTCCATGACAAGCCGCCTTCCAAGCCACGGACCCCGAGACCGCCAAAGTCCCTAACCGGGAACGTTGTCTCATCATAATGAACTCCCCGGAGTCGGATAAGACAACAGCAGCAGAGAGAATTTTGGATGACCAATTGTTTCTAAAACGTATGGTCTCCCTACTGTTCGATGAGGGGGAACCGGGGATTAATATCGTCTCTGCTTTTCGACTTGGCAGAAAACACGAAGATTCTTCCAAGATGCGTCCCCTTAAGGTTGTATGCCAAAGTAAAGATGAATGCCGTCGGATCCTTCGACGAACTTCGCACCTCAAGGGGGAGCCCTTTCACGTGTTACGGGATCTATCCCCGGAAGGCCGCGTTAAAATGAAGATCGCAATCGATGAATTGAGAACTCGCCGTGCGAACGGTGAAACCGATTTGCGTATTGAGGATTTTCGCGTGGTTCGGAAAGTGCAGAGAACGCGCTGGAAGCCAGTTCTTGTCCTTCCCGGACATTAAGATCAACAACTGAATTGCACGTACTTTTTGCGAACGTGCGCAGTCTGCGTAATAAACTAGATGAAGTTGTGCATCTTGCGTCAGTACTTCTCCCGGACCTTATGGCGTTTACGGAGACATGGTTGTCCCCAGAAATCCTAGATCCCGAAGTACATATTCCTGGTTACAGTCTCTCCCGAGCTGATCGCATCGGTTTGAGATCGGGGGGCGGCGTCACACTCTACTGGAAGGAAAACCTGAAGGTCCATGTAGTTGATGTTGTCTTGGGAAGTGATGACTGCTCCGAAGTGCTTTGGTGTCGTATTCACGGTGGATGTAGATCTCTCCTTCTCGGTGTCTTCTACAGAGCTCCCCTGAGTTCTGGCGATCGTTTACTGGCCTCCCTAAAGAAGCATGGTGGAAGTAAGGATTGTTTATTAGTGGGGGACTTTTATGCCGCTAATGTTGATTGGGATCTTCTTCACTGTGATGCTGCACCTGCCTCCTTCGATTCTACGTTTCTGGTATCTGTTCTTGAAAGCAATTTAATCCAACATGTCGCGGCACCTACTCGCATTATCCCTGGTCAGGCGCCCCACATACTCGATCTTATGCTTTCGCCTGCACCACCGGATGTTTCTGATTTGAATGTTTTACCACCAATCGGGAGGAGTGACCACTGCCTACTTTCCTTTCAATGGACCACACGGTTGAGCACTCACAACCACTGTGTCTATCGGCGGAATTTCTGGCGTGCTGATCCAAACCGCTTGAAGAAGGCCGCTAGCGAGCAGGATTGGAGTCTCCCTCAGCACTTGGACGTCGATAATGCTTGGAGCCTTGTTTACTCGAAAATGTTGTCCCTTATTGATGATGTTGTTCCCATATCCAAACGAAAACCTTGTACTAGAGGTCCCCCCTGGATTGACCGAGAACTACGATCGCTCATGAACCAAAGACACAAACTTTGGAATCGCTATAGGCTTTCGAGATTGGAAACCGATTATAGCAATTATAAATTGGTCCGGAACATATGTACATCGAAAAAACGTACGAAACGGCAGCAATACGATGGTCATCAGGCTGAACATTCCAAGTCTATACCGAAGCTGCTTTTCTCCTACTTGAAAAGGAGCACCAGAGACGGAAGTGGAATACCGTCTTTGCATTCCCACGATCTTAATACCGTGCTCCACGACGATGCGGATAAAGCTAATCGTTTAGCTCGCCATTATTCATCGGTCTATACAACGGAGGTGCCGTCAGTTGATTGTTATTCATCCTTGCTCTCCGCTCTCAGCGATATGGACATAAATGTTACTGTGGTATACAAACTTTTGTGCGAGTTGGATCCCAACTCTTCCCCGGGACCTGATGGATTGCATCCTCTTTTCCTCAAGATTGTGGCCGAATATATCGCTGTTCCTATCTGCCACGTATTTCGGTGCTCACTTGAGGCCGGGCGTCTTCCGCTTGCCTGGAAAGCGGGCATAGTGAAGCCCATATACAAAGGAGGAAATCGACAAGATCCTACGAATTATCGGCCCATTTGTCTAACATCTGTCGTCTGTAAGGTTATGGAGAGAATTCTTAAACGAGCTCTCAACCTGCACTTCCAGAACCTCAAGATCATTTCAGCTGCGCAGCATGGGTTTTGTCCTTCACGTTCATGTGTCACCAATCTTCTGGTAGCTCGAGAAAAGTGGGCTAAATTCATGGATGCTGGTAAGCGGCTAGATGTCGTATTTGTGGACTTTAGTAAAGCTTTTGACAAGGTTCCACACGAAGTTTTGCTTAGCAAACTTCGCAGTATTGGTGTTTCAGGAAAAATCCTCTTTTGGCTCACTGATTTCCTGCATGACCGCGCTTTCTGTGTGCAAGTAAATGAGGCCCTTTCCTTCCCCGTAAATATGACCAGCGGTGTTCCGCAAGGCTCTTTTCTTGGCCCTGAACTTTTTAAAGTCTTTATTAATGATCTGGCATCTGTACTACGGGCAGATTGTTTGATTTACGCAGATGATTTAAAGATATGGATGGAAGTCTCCTGTCTAGATGAAGCGGATTTACTACAAACGAGGCTCGATTCGCTGTATGATTGGTCGATCAGGTGTCAATTACCCATACATCACGTTAAATGTTCCGTTCTTCCGATCGGTGCCTCCGAACCATTTGGAATTTATCATATCGGTGTGTTTTTGCTGCCGAACTCTAATCGTGAGAGGGACCTCGGCGTCGTTGTGACCCCAGACCTAAAATCGACCGAAGATACTTTGAGGAAAGTCGCTTCTGCCAACAGGTTGTTTTTCGCCATACGACGATCCTTCTCTCGCTTGACTCCGGAGATCTTCAGGCCCTTGTTCACTTCTCATGTACGTCCGATTCTTGAGTATGGACTGCCCGCTGTTTATCCTCTTTCCAAATTTGAACGCAACTTGATTGAAAAAGTTCAGCAGAGAGAATCTAAATCCGTTCTGGAGTTACGAAACCTGCCTTACTCGCATCGTCTCCAGTGCCTGAACTTGTTCTCCCTAGCCTACCGTCGAGATCGCGGGGATTTGATTTTCACACGGCGTATCGTTAGAGGGGAACTTGGAGTTGAATTGCAGAATTTCTTTCCACTCAATTCTTTCAGTTCGACTCGGGGTCACCATTGGAAATTGTTTAAACAAAGGAGACTTCGGGTCCGTTGTGATGTCACTCTGTCTACCAGAGTAGTGAACGAATGGAATAATCTACCTGTGTATGTCGTTGATGCGCAGTCGGAGGAATGTTTCAAATATCAATTGGACTCTTACCTGTTGAGTAAACTCGGATTTTGTTGCTTCTTGAGTCAATGCAGCGGTTCCATTGGAACCGACTTGCAGTGTCCACCTTGATCCCTGTGACGAACGGGAGGCGATGGAGCTGACAAAGGATTTTTCCTTCTGCTCTCTACATTCCAATGTTCCAATGTTCATTACATTCGCAACGATAGGCAGTCACACTGAGTGGCCGCACACGCAGGGAAACTACCGGTATGTTGCATCGCGTCACTCACTAATCCACCTGTATTCAACCGTTTCTTTGTTACTCGGATGGACACTGATCTGACGTATGCAGAGCAGTTTCATTTGTTACCTCCATGTAGGAAGTTTCATTACTAACTGACTTTATTGAACCTGCACAAACAGGGACGAAATCAGTGATGGTAGACACCAACACTTATTAGATATTTGTCACACAACCTTTTAGGTCGAATCATTTCATAATTTGATTCGCCAAAGCTCACCACTCGGTGGAGCATTAGTTGTCTCCCAATTGTACCTTTGAGTAGCTGTGTTCAAGCCGGACTTTAGGTGACCTATCTCCATCGCAAACGCTATGTTGTCGGTGGCTTGATTAACTATAGATCATTGTAGGAGACCATAAGATAGGAATTCTACTCAGTAACATTCAAACGTTAAGTGGCACCATGCTGTATCGCAAGGAAATTTCGAATACATTTCAATCTAGAATGAGAAGGATTTAGATGCTTAAGCGCGAGACTGTTGTCCCATTCGTAAGGAGGTTGTCAAATCAGCTTACACATCAATTGATAACAATCAGGTCAGTGGGGAAGAAGACTGTGGAGACCCCAAAGCTCGAAGATAAGTACAGTGCGAAGAAAATTCAGGGGTTGCTGTGCTCCAACTCCGAATGATTCGGCTGGTTACACTGTCGCTGGTGCTTGTCAGCTGTAGGTGACTGCAGCAGGTCCTCAAAAGCAGGACACAGCTTTCGATGAACGGTACTCTCAGTAATGGACCCCCATTACCCTGATAATTCCCGGTGCAACAGTTAATGATCCAATGTCAGTTTTTCTAAGCTAACCGCTCAGGTATGGGGGGGTTAGTTTGATGATGTATATAAGTTTAGTTCAACTGAAGCCAAGGTGTAACATGTTTGAAAGGTAAGCTCGAGAAAAGTAGCATAACCGGAAAACCAGAGTTTTACTCCATATATTTTGTTTACCGCAAGAGTGATTGAATCCTCAATGATAAACAATTTCATTGCCATCTCTTCCAGAGCAAAACTCTGGGACGTCAGTTGCTGTGTGAATTATGCACGCACCTGGGTGTGCTAAACTCCTCATCGTACTTCGGTATCCGGTACGTGGACAACAACAATTTCATGGTGAGTTTCTAGTTGGACATGAATATTATGATGAGAAGCTGAAACATTGTAAACAGTTTCATTTTTCGGTACCGTAGGCCACTAATTCTGCCATCAGGCTTATTCAGCTTGTTGGTTTAGCCATGATCGATTATTTTTAGGTCTTAATATTTCCATCATTTTCGAAACAGTAGTCTCGGCCACGTTTGCAGCGAGTCTCCTTCCAGTGCCTTCTGGCCAACACTGTTATGAATTGCACACTTCAGACTGACCAGCCATAAATGGGAGACTAATTCGGTATCCTATAAGCCAAATAATATGCCTCCAACTAGTTAGAAAACCGTCCGACTACTGTGAAAATTGAGTCCATCACGAAACACAGCTTTGGGAAAGTTAGAAAGGTTGTACCTTGGAAAGATACTTTACTTGCACAAATTGCAATAGTGCGGTGGCGACCGTTTAGCCGACGGTCAGGTAAACATAGCTACCTGCTGAAATTTTCCATCATTCTGACAAACATACGTTTGGCAAGCAACTGGGACCATGATCGTTTTTTTACTCCAAGGACACCCTCTATACAGCAGGGTATTCCAGAGCATGTGTTGTTGATCAGACTGATTCTGCATTGTTCCACAACTTTGTGAATTAGAACGTGGTCATGGCTTCACTGCTACCGCACTCAAACTGTACTTGCTCGACGACTAAGATTTCTAAGCAAACTTAGACGGCTTTCCAAGATCTATTTGTTAATTCAGATGTGCGTTCACTGTTATCCGAAAGGATGCTGGGTCTGGAGTTATTGCTCTGGTGGAATATCGGTCACACGCAAGCAACACCATGAAGCCACACAATATCCTCGTCGCGTTATCGAGTGCACCGAATAGATGGGTTCCGTAAATGTTGGTAAGGAGCATCGCGGAACCGATAGCCCTTGTTTAATCAGTATGATAACGACAAGTTGCAAATTCTCTCTTTCGTCTGCAATGCATTTTTGGTGTCCGAACCTTCATTTTCTCATGCGATGATACGAGTTAAAAGTTCTAATATCTGCAATCATAAATAGCGAGTGCTTCTTCGTGAGAACTAGTGTGGCTCACTTTTCCGTCTCCACATTTTGGATACCGAGGACCATCTGAAAGGTAGACGGAATCCCAAATAATAGACTAATACGTACGATTCTGTCTGCCTTTCTGTTTGCGATTGTTGGGAAGTTTGTCAAACGCAATAGCCGGAGACCCCAGTACTCTATAATCCTTAAGCAGCCCCGACTTGCCAGGTCCAGAAACTACGTGAATTAATCATGACGGGCGACTTTGGGTTAGTATGATAACGTTTTGGAAAGTGACCTGTGATTTATCACGCAGCCACTTCGGTGTTTACATTTTACCCAAAAAAACGTAAACATTTTCGTCCTAATCGCCCCCTTAGTTACAGGGCCACAAGTCACTTGAACTGTCTTCCACGTAATTGGGAAAGCGACCTTCCAAAACTCCTGGGGAATTAGATGTGAGGATACCACGTGTTTTTGTTCGCAATTTATGCGCTTTTCACTGGTTCGCCACCTCTCACAGCACCTGTAGTCCAGTAAGCACTTTCTGAGTGTCAACATCCAATGGAGTGGTAACGGGATTTACGTGCTGTAAGCCAAATTCATCGCAAACAGATTCAGTTATACTGCCATCACATGTCCAGAAAATCCTCGGGCGGACAGACGTTTTATCCCTTTCGGAATTGATGACAGCGCGCATTCTAATCGGTCTCTGTCAGGATAGAAACTGTGACCCCACTGTTACGAGTGCGTGGTTAATACCATTGAGTCTCGGGAACGACACTGACCGAAATAGCGAGGATGCCGGATGTCACACAACAAAGCACGAGCTCCACTAACTAGGGTGCTGCAGCGTCAGGATATGTCACATGTTTGTGAGGTTCAACAGACTTACTAAGTCTAGTTTCTCGTACTAACTGGGCTGTACAACTAGCATAATTCGGAATAAGAGCAGTTCTATTGGGCTGTTTTGTTGATGCATTGCTCTCCGAGTTTATCAGTTTTACTCTGACAGTTTTACTACATTTGGATAGCGCACCAACAATCACCTACCCTAAGTTCATAATGGGCCTGAGCGGATTGTAGCAAGAAAAGGTGATTAGTGGCTTAACGGGGGAAGTGGTGTGTCTGAGGTCCAAATCTAGTCCTAATGCTGTGGCAGCTAGCACCGTAATACACAGCGATGCTCTCTATACCACGGTTAGTAGGGCAGTTACGCAGGCCAGCACCACCGCCCCAGCTCACTGTAAATAGCATCCGGTCATATTTTTGGAATTCCTGGACCCAAACCTGAAAGATTTGTGAGAATTGTACACCGTCGACGGATGCTTAACGTATGGCATCGATGAATCTAATTGAAATTCATCAATTTCCCAACTGCCAACAGGTCATCGATTGCCAGCATAACAGCCAGAGGTAGCCTCCCAGTTCCTAGCAGTGTGGAACCATATTTCAGTTGACATAGGTTGTCTTTCAGCATTGTGACCAAAACGCCAGCTACCTCAGTGATCATTTACTTGTATTTTATAGACCTGTTTTCTTCAGACAATTCGCCTGTTTCTGGTGTTAACAGCTTGGTGACACTCAGCAGTGCTAGGAGCTGGATTAAATTTCCGGAAGTGCCGGGTTCGCAGTCAACAGTACTTGCGCTTCTCTATCATGCTACTGTAAACGATTCCACGAGTGGTGATTTACCAACCTGACTGCCTAACCGTTGCAGGGGTGTGAGCTTGGTACATAGATTGCAAGACCTATCCCGAGTTCCCCGGCCATGACGGTGAGTTAGTCCAAATGGCTGTGGCTCAAAAACCACCGAACTGCTCCATTGCTGTTCCACTGCGGATTCCTTTCCTCGCAAGCGGTTATAAATATACAGTTCCAAGGCAATTTGTCTGTTGCATAGTCGTACATAATAGAATTAAACTCAAAAAGATTTCGTGGCCAATCTATAGACTTTGGACCATGGCAGTGCTTACTGGAGATTTCAGTGTCTCTGAGTTACTCCGTACTTTATCATCCTCCTCCTCCTCCTCCTCCTCCTCCTCCTCCTCCTCCTCATCATCATCATCATCATCACTACAATCAAACCTGGCGCAGCATGTCCACGAGAAACTCACCGAGCTCTAATAACAGCCCGTAGTTCGTACTCCGTCAGTGACACCAACAAATGTGAATTTGATTTTCGGTAACCATATACGGTCCATAAGCGTGTGCCTACTAAGTAGGCCTAGAAGCTTGAATGTTTTATTTGAACCTCTTGGATTTTTATCCTACAATGCATGAGTTCTTGTTATTGGCTGATTCCACCTAACATCCGCATTTCACTCCAGTGCACTGTGAACGAATGCACTTCAGTTCCAGCGGAGAAGCGAATAACGCCGAAGTGGTTTCTTTATCATTCAACACCTTGGCTAATTATGTTGATTTCTCTTAACCCGTGTTCTAGTTTACAAGACTAGCCTGTACCTGTTACCGACATTGTTTCCTCACTGCCATCAAGCTAAATTGAAATTCCAAATTGTTGCACAACAAACGCTTAGTCAAGCAAAGTAATCTGTTTATTTAATGTGTGCCGATTGGCAAAATGAACACTCGATGACATCCATAGACGGATGATAACAGTCGCGAGAACACCAACATTTGCACAAATTCATCTATGCACGTCTCATCTTTCCACATATGTGAGCTCAACACCCACGTAATCTTACAGTTGCTACATATGTAGGCTTCGGATGTCCATTACGTGCAGCCCACGCGGTGTTATACCTGAAATGCACTATGCATTCGACGAAACGATTGTGCAATTTTTTTCCGCCATCGAGTAGGCGCATTGCATACCGGTAATATCGCTCCACCCACCCACTCAGTTACACAGTGCTTCACAGGGATCATTGGTGTTTGGCAGGGTGCCAGGATAGAATTTCACTGCGGACCGAAGCAGTCTGAGCTGTGTGGTCCATATGCAGATTCGGTGCCGATCTCGCGGGATTTTTCACCGAACTTTGGCTGACCGTGACCCTACTGACCTCGACATCCAACTGACAAGGGCGCTTCCACATTACTCGCCTGCTTCATAAGGTGGCACAACTGAAGAAACATGTACAGCGTATATATGCCCCACGTGATTCCGACCTTACATGCCTGGAGTTTACAAATGCAAACCCCAATCACCATGTCTAGCTGGTATTTTACTGTGAACCGTAATGAACGGTAGAATGCAGGAAGGTCCGGTTCGCGTCCTTCACTACCATCTTAACCTTACAGGAAACCAATGACCTTAGGCCTCGTTCTGTAGCCGGCTAACTATGCTGTAGCTAACTGATGTTATACGTTCGTCGTCTGGAGTAAGCTACCAATATCCATATACATCTTCCTCATTGCGTATACTCCAGATTGAAGACGCCATTTAGGTTCAGATTGAGGGGATGAATGCAGCCCTCGTGGATATAATTTTGGTGTCCGCATTGAGTGTTGCCTAAAGTTGTTGTCATCAAGTCACTGAGTGGACGATAGGGAGGATTTACGGCACACAAGCTACGTTGTTGCCCGCACCCATCACATACGCAGGGTAAACCTTACCGAATACACACCGGTGTGTGTGAGCCGAATCAGCGAGTATATCGGAGTTTGTTCACACACCTGGGTAAATGCACAGTTAGTTCATGATTAGGAAAATCGGCGTTTTGGCTGCCGTTTATCATGGTTAATCCCAGAAACTTAACTATCACCAACTCTAAGAATGCGGCTGTGCAATTCCGGAACATGTGGTTCTTGCGAACTCAGTGGACCCCAAGAATTCATTCATATATGCTAGCTGTGCACGTGACGCTAGCTTGGTCGGAACCAGTTGCATCATGAAACTATCCTTTAAATCTAGTCGTTTCACAGCAATTGTGTGCACCGTCACAAAGTCAATTACAGGGATCCTCATGGCCCGGTAATCAAGTTCATGAAAGCTGACTTCTTCGCAGCT